GGCGACGAAAGGTGATAGCGATCGACGATAACAGGAAGGGTGTTGGACTCCAGCTACTTCTCAATGCTTCAAGTTCTCTCTCAAGCTTCAAGTCTCCCCTCATGAGTGGGGTGAAACACTATTTATAGTATTCTATGTGCAATTAATGCAAGAATATGAACCAATTTGATCGGACGGCCCAAAGAGCTTCCTTCAATCAAACGGCATTTGATGGACATTTTGGTGTCTTAAAGATGTCGGAATTGAGCAATCTTGGGCTCGTTGGATTCGTCTTGTCGAGACGCTCGATTCAACTGAGATGCTCGATTCAACTATAGGCTTGCTAGATTAGGCATTCGTTAAACCTTCTAAATATATCTGAAAATCTTCCAAGTGTGGTTAATGACTTGATCTAAGTTTGATTTGACTCAGATTGGACCAATTTTGATATCATTCGGTCTATCTTGTCGAGCTGGTCAGTTTGACTATAAGTTTACTGAAATCGAAACTCTGAATGAATTTTTATCGAGATTTGAATTCTTTGCTCAAAAAATTATCTCGAGATTCATGTCATGCCTCGAAATTTGTGTCGAATGATAGACATTTGTTGAAGATGTATTTTTAAAAAATTACTTAGATGGACACTTTTATGTCATATCAGAGTCGTGTCCGTGTTCAATATTGCACGGCTCCTTAATTAAAAGTGTTTGTGCATCATAATATATAAGGTTTTCATTTAATTCGTTTTATTTCCTCCACACCTTTTCAACTTTCCCATGTTTAAGTTTTTGGTACTTCCTCCCATTCCGCGTATTTCTTCTTGCCATTTCCTATCAACCTTCTGTTCGAGCACCTCCATGATAGGAAGTCCTAAAAGGATAAGAAAATTGATACAAGAAAGTGGAATGCCCCTAGAATTTTTTCAAAACCAATTTTCTAAAATAGCAGTTCTCTTTTATACGGCCAAGGCCAACAAAAGTCAATTCCATATATAGTGTACTTAAAGAGCGCTCAGAAACAACCATTACATGTAAAAAACAATTATGCATCAGACCATGCAAACAAAATGAATTCTAAAATAATGCCAAATATCCTTGAAACGTGAAATCATTTCCTTTTATCTTCGAATGGAACTATTAATCCATACCATTGGTTAAAAATCTCGATAAGAATCTTTTCTCAATGATCTGAGAAATTTTATAATCGTGCCGCAATTTGATTTCCTGTTCCATATCTTCAATATTTCAAATGGTAGCAGTAACTTGGCATTCCTAATCTGTTGAGCTGTATTTTCTACTGTCTGTTGAAAGAAAAGAACATAAGAGGAGAACATGCTATATATGGGTTATTTGGTTCAATATTATTGATAGAAGTCTCCTCTACAGTAATATTTTTTTTTATTTTAATGACAATGTCACGGTCAAATGCAATGTTTAGTTCAATGCTGGGTTGCTAATAGAGGTAATGTTTTCTGGAAAAATTGATGGCGATAATTTTAGCTCTTATTGGTGCTATTTACTTTAATCATTAAATAGCTAGTTATTTAGATGCATTAACGAAAGAGTTAAATGACATTTATTAAAGATGCCAATGAACCAAAAAAATGACATCTACAAATAGGGCAACATTACATAGGAGATGTCAGTTAATTTAATAACCTACAAGTTCGTTCAGGCGATCAATTTCCTAAAGCAAAAAATCTTTTTCTATAACTTTACAAAACGCAACAAACTTTTTTCATTTAATAAAAAGGATGGCTTTTCCAAGAAAAAAATATAGAGATAGAACCAAGCAAGACTGGGTCTCTAGTAAAACTAATGTAGAAACACAAACAGATCAAGTGGAAAACAAGTAAATGGAATATTTAACATGCGGCACTTTAAAAGAAGCCCTTACAGGGAAAAAAACATATAGAACTGCATCAAAAACTAGTAAAACCATAAAAAATTCATTTGATCAATTTTAACACATCTACTGCAAAATTAAACAGTTCAACAGAGATATTGACTATAACTAGAATGCATAATCTATATTATGGAATTTAGATTAGATTCAAGGGCATCCTAGTTCAAATTTCATATTTCAAAATTTAGACTGCAAATTAGGATACATAATCTACATCCAAAATGCAAAACCAAATTAGGATCCATAATCTGGAATGCATTTTGTGCTCTAAACAAAATTAGAAGGTACAAATAAAAGAAAACAAACCCAACAATTCAATTTTTAAGTTGGTTTGATTGACCATGCCCAAAAAATGAACCTAAATCATACAGTCAAGTAAAACAAAATCTATGTCAAAACCCACTAACTAGCATGGAACATGCTCAGAAACCAAAAGGTGTAAATACCATCATGCTTTTAAGTTGAAACAAATAATGCACACAATACAAGCAAATCAAGCATATGAGTCTATGGCAGCAAAAAATTCAATGAATTAGATAATTCAACTGATAGAAACCTCGCACGCTTAGTATGTCATAGTTTTATTCTCATAGGACGTCCATGTTTTAATGTTTATTATACTAAACATATGCGCCAAATGCTAAATTAAATAAATGCATGAAAATGAATATTTTTTTAAGGTAAAAATGTGACTTATGTTTAGCTGAACTAATAGGTGAAAACCCATAAATGAGGGAAAAGAGGTAACAAAAGAGAGGCATGTTGAGACACCTCTGCAACTTTCTCAGTCTCCTCAATGAGGGCTGTCCACGCATTGAAATCCAAACAGTTAATCCTAACAGCATTCCATAGCCTCTCCTCCTCAGCAGAATACACTACAAAGTACAAAGAAAACAAAAATGCATGAACAAAATCAACTTTTGGATAACTAAGCACATGGACAACAGAAACATCAAAATTAAACAAAGAAAGTGAAAAAAAAAAGTTGCTAAATGATTCTCATTAAAATTTTCCAAGAATAGTTTCAATTAATATGAAAGCATACGTACCTTCTTCAAAATGTTGTGCCCCAGCATGCGCATCGGGAACAGCGGATGCAGCCCCATATTCAACAACATCCGAAGACTGATATTCAACCATTTCACCGGGAACTCCGTTTGTTGAATCATAGCTGACAGCATGAGTGGGAACAGCTGCCTCCACTTCATGTCTAACAAGGTTATCAGTGGCAACAGCAGCCATAGAATCACATGCAACATTCCCATTTCCAGCATGGGCTGAACCATAAGTTGTGCCATGAGCATAGACATTCTCATTCCCAGGGTTAAAATTTTGAACTAAGGGACCTGACGCATCGGCTAATGATCCAGGTTGGTCCAAATTTTCAACTCCCTTCTCTGAATTAGACATATCGTATGCTGAAGGAGCCTCAATAACTCTAGAATATTCAGTCATGCTGGGAGATTGGGTAACTACCTGCTGATCATCTTCCATCTTCTTTAATTAACAATCAAATAAACTGCAATGGGAAAATGTTCCCCCAGGATATAAGATACCGGGCAGCAAAAGAGAAACCAAACTGCTGAAGCAGTTCAATGTCAAAGTGATATAGCAAGTTCTTTAAACCACAACATCTACACAGCCTCAAAAAATTCGTGATAAATCCGGGATATACTAAATCCTGTTAATCGGCGTATTTTAGCAAATCCAGGACAAGCGAAGAGGAAGAATGGCTCGAACAGGCTTACCTTCGTCAATGGTTTCCGGTAGGAGCCGAGCGGAAGGATGAGAAATATGGGAGCTTCGGTTGTCTCTGTAAGCCGCGACCCCGTCGTTGCCTTCCCACGAAGTTTCGCTCGCGAAGGCGATGATTTTGAGCGAAACTGGGAGGGGGAGGGGGAGGGGGAGGGGGGAGCGACAGAAGCGAGGGTTTGAGTAGCGATGGGAAGTTTGGGCGAAACCGGGAGAGGGGGAGCATGGAGACGAGGGTTTCGGGCACCGAGGGGAAGAGAGGGATTGTTTATAGTTTTAATTTGTTTTTAGGCTAAATTTTTAAAACAAGCTTAGGGTGAGGTGCAGCAGTTTGTGCGTTTCAGGATAATCAATTTATCCTTAAATATGACTTACAGGTGGACTGCAGAGTTCGATCCGTGGCCTGAGTTTAGTGTAAGAATGAAATCGTGTTCTCGGATAAACAGCCAAAATGCGTGATCCAAACGGTACCACGATTTTTTAAAAAAAGACACTACACTTATAAGCTGTCCCAAATGGGCCCTTAATTAGCATGAGAAGCCACTAGATCGTGATTAACAGTGTTGTGCCGCATCATAATTATTTCTATTTAAATTATTTTTATTTTATATTCCCAAAAAATAGCAGCTAAAAATCATCTTTTCTCAAATCTATCTACCTTTCATTTGGCCTGCATTTCACATTAAATGTATTTTTAAATATTTTTGTTGTGAAATTTCTGATGTGCACGCACCACGTTAAACAGCTTGGTTTGGCTTGGGTTTCTTAAATATCTGCTATGAAATTTTGTTAAAATTATAAATAAATAAATATATATTGATAATAATATTTTTATGATTTAAAAATTTAAAAAAATAAAATTAAATTGTTAATATTTTTTAAAATAATAATTTAAAAAAAATAAATCATCAGAAATTAAAAAGTTAATATATTAAATTAATTATAATGAATTTATTATTAATTTTTTAAATATATATGAAATGGTATAGATTAATAACAAAGATTTAAATAATTTATCTAATGAATTATTAAAAACAAAACAAAAATAAAAAAAAACCTCATTTATGGGAAAAAAATTAAATTTGCGGGATAGTATTTAAATTAATATAAATATTAAAAAATAACATAATTTTAACTAAACTTTGACATTGAAAGTAATAAATTTAGAATGTCAAATTTTTGGATTCAAATTTAAACTTTGTTGAAATAGTAGTTGAAAATAAAATAAATATTAAAAAAATTAGAAAATATATTTTCTTCATCACGGTTGAAGAGCTCTTAATCTCAGAGCGCATCTTGATGGTGCACGGAGTGGTTGCCCTAGATGTTTCTCTCCATCATCCTCTTGAATCCGATCACTAGTTGATGCGACAACTGGAGTCACTTGTTAAATGTGGAGTGAAGGTCCGTTATAATTGGGCCCCAAACGAAATTGCAAGTTGAAATATCCAGCCTCTGAAGTCTTCTAGTGTAGAGCATATGACGAACCCTTGTATGATGTTGAAGGTCTTACACATGTTGAGGTTCTTGTATATTTTAAGGGACCAATATAGGTAAAAGATTTTCTCGAAGCATCTACAATCAATTCTCTTGAGAAGTTCGTTGGTAATCGTCATGGGATATCCAAAGTAGAACTTCGAGAAGTATGTTCGGGTGGTTGGTCAAACCCGCTATAATCAATATAGAGGATTGATCCACGTTGTTGGAAAACTCTGCGAGTTCTTCATAACCTTTCTGCATTGTCATAACATCTTCACCATGACAACCAGCAAAACTACAAGCAAGGCCCTTTGAATGGACAAATGCAATGGTCAACCTGCATAAGTTTATAATTTATTAAATCAGGATAATATATAAGAAATTATAAGTGCAACATCATTATAAAATATTTACTAACCATTAATCTCTCCCCAGAAGACATTGGGTGGTAAGTACCTTGTGGTACAACAAACTGTTAAACTAGGTAGATTGATGTCCATGATCTATACTGCTGTAAGTAATGCGACAGTTTCACACTTCCATCACCTAAAGATGGATTTATTAGAGTCATGAAGACCTGATGATTATTCTACAGAGCAATGAAATTTTGGTGGTAATGCATCCAGTCCATGTCAGGTTTTCCTCACCAATCGATCTGTGGAAAAGATTAATATATTGACACAATCTCTGTGGATTCTACATAAATAAATTGTCGCATTACTCGGTCTGGAAGATGCCACTCCACACATTTTCAGTTGATAAGAGGTGGATGAGCTGTCCATATTTCCATATTATAGGGACAATTCTTAGGTAACCACGTCGTAAAATCATTAAGATAAAGTGCCTAAACAACTTGTTTGTTTAGATCTTACGATTTGTTATGAATTAAATAAACAACATATAAATTTATTTTTATAAATTAATGTAATTAACTCTGCATTAGTCCATGAATTTAGCCTATATACATTTCTTGATTTATGTGTGGCACTTCTAGCACTCAATCCTCATTTCATCTGGGGTTATTAGATAAAATTATTAAAGGAATTGCTGACATATTTATAAATATTATTAGTCTGCATAAAATATATGTGAATCCCAATGTCTTGTGTGATAAATCTCTGGGAATAGGAACACAGAGAGTGTGTATGCGGACATGCAAATGCTTCCAGCACCAAACTTGCAATAGGTGTAGACATACGGCTATTCTAGCACGCTTAGGCTTTGTGATCATATTTAACTCTCTGTACAATTGTGCTTAAACAATCCTTCCTGTAGAGTACTGGGAAAATGTTACTAAATCCTCAAGTAATTGTAAATAATGTAAATGTATGTGCGTCCTTGATGTATCGAGCAGTAAAAAACTACCTACATATATGAAATGTATGCTTTAACACTATACAGAAATGTGGGATAATCCATATTCTGATAAGATTCTCTATAAAAAACATATCGAAGCCAATGAAGATGTACAATGGTATGGGATTGAGAGTGTCCCATTTGAAAATTTGTCAAGAATTTTTTGTCCTCAGGATCCTGAACAATCTCATCTATGCTTGGATGTCTTCATAATAATTCATCGCAAAAGTTTGGCCAACCAGACCAGCGCAACTTCAGCACAACACAAATTGGACCAATCAGGGCACGTCCATCCACCCTGATGCCAATAGTAATTTGTACATATTGCAGTGTGATTGTCATCTCACATGTAGTTATTAAGAAAATAATAAATGCAGTCTTAACCATAATTATATGGATAACAAATAATTTAATTTTTTGGTTCTCTTCTTACCAACTGATAAATGGAACATATTAGTGAGCTAAGACCTTCGCCCTACCGTTGTAGTTCTCAAATGATGTTCTATCACAATAAATTATAAATGTTGAATATAATAAATTCCCGCAATTTGCAATGCTCGAATGAATTGTGGGCACCTAACCGACCACTCCCATGCTTTGCATACATGACTGGTTGGTTGTCTCAAGTACCCTCACCTGTTCATGTTTTACTTGAATCAGTCTTTTATATCTAATCAATTGCAATAAGAATAAATTACAAATACATTATCTGATCAATAGTTGATGCTCTATGTGATTCTCCTAATGCTTGTTTACTCGGCAGTGCCTCCGCCATTGCTAGATACACTGTCGGAACATGCCTAGTACAGTGGCAGCCTCATGTACTTGTTGTCTTTGTCGTACTTATTTAAGGATTACCCAAAAAGTATTTACTCGATAAAATAATTTATTTTCTAGGCTAATTTAATTTAAATGTCTGCTTGAACTTGGGTTATTGGGGTATGTCGTGTTTTTGTGTCCAGTGTTTTTAAAAATAATACATTAACAAGAGCTATGTAATCTTGTTTCATCCATTATATTTCCTATTCTATTGAATCTTGGCCTATCGCATCGCCTTCTAAACAAAGGAACGAATAAATTTACACGCCTTGTTGTTGATTATATTGTGGCATATCTCCTTTTCTAGTATCTATGAAACAAAGCCTCGTACATTTGTCTATAATATTATATAATAAAATATATAAAACTTGTATGTTATAAATTTATGGTTCCCAACACTACAATTGAATGTACACATGAGACATGATATATTTGCATTTTTTTGCACGTACACAAACAATGCTCTAATGAGATAATATTCACTCGAAAAGTCCTACAACTCATGTCAAAGACTTGATATTTTTTGGCTTTAGTTTTTTTATGCCGTAAGTGTTAGGTGCCTACCTAAATGACTGTGATGATCTACCTCCCATTTGTAGCATCTTGCAGCTCAAGACAGACATTTGATACCTCCTAGCACATACTCAAGGCACAGAGCTAGAATTTGTGTTGATTCTACCCCACACGAGAGAACCTACAATTGGACGAACTCACCCAAGATATTGGACATGATTGATGGACATTCTAGTGTTATTGGTCTCTCTGTATCCACTCAGAGTCTCCCCGAAGTTAAGGGAAGTCGGAGCCCTCATACGCACACAACTGGAAAATTTGTGTTTGGAACACCTTACCCATTTCGTAGTTCAGAGTACCCACTGGTGACAGATTATCTAATCCATATATGGGGAAAATACTCATTTTTGAAGTTAGGGGATCATAATTTACTCATATGTGGTTTGCTATAGCTTTCAAATCGAAGGAATCCTCCGCTGGGCGCGCTAAGCAAAAATCAGCATTTTTTGGGCTAGAGCGTCTCCTAGTGCCATTCCTGAGTGCCTATGTGCCCAAAATAGCCCCTGAGGAGCTTAAAACCTGAGATTTCAATAGGTAGGCAACAGTTTCAAGTGCCTAGGTGCCAAATAATTCATCAAAATAGCCATTTTTAGATCACCGGAAAAGTAGGAGCTAGTCCAAAATCAGTACCAATTTTCTCCCGCAAATTTTGCTACTTTTGAGTCATTTCCCGATCAATGGGAAAGTAGGAGTTCCCTTGAGGCCAATAGCTTAAAAGAAAGATGAGAGTGAGGACTTCCTTCTTACAACCTTCTTCTACTTCTTCTTCTTTTTCCTCCTCCATCCTCCACCAAATGATCTTCTTCCTCACCATTCTTTAAGTGTGTGAGGAGATCTTTTTGGGGGGGGGGGGGGGGGGGGCAAAAACAACAAGAGAACAAGGTCTCTCATTTCCTATGCTAAAGGAGAGCTTCATCCTAGCTTAGGTAAGGATCGTCGGAACTTCACCAAAGCTTGGAACTTCGTCGTAACCTCGTCGTACTCTCCTTATAAAGGAAAGCATCTTCATTCTTTAGATAAGGAATGGAGCGG